TTACATGATATTAATTAAACAAACATGGTAGATGTAACTTATTCTCTATTAAAAAGAAAGGATTGTATTATTATCTATTGATTTAAATAGAAAGAAGTTGGTTGCCTTTAAATAAAAATTTAAGTTTAAATTTTATAAATAGATAAATAAATATTAAAATAATTTTTTATTTATAAATTTTAAATTCAAAATTTTATTTTAAAAAAATTGAGTTATTTCTATTTTGATCAATAAGATATTGATTAAAAAAAAAAAAACACATTTACTCCACAAGGTTTTCAATCCTACCGGATCCGAACCCATAATTGTGTTTTGTGGATAAACAAAACTCACCAAAATCTGAGGCGCGTGATACCCAGTCCCCATTTCCTAATCGCCAAAATTCTAGAAGCCTCTCAGCATTTGATAAAAACCTGCCCCTTAGGGTTTTATTATTAACACTTGCTCCTGCTGTAACCTTATCAGTCTTTTCAGCTCTCGAGTTCACCCATTTCTCAATCTGGAAGGTACTGCTTCGTTCTACTTTTAATGGGTCAGATTCTCTTTTTTGGGATTTTTTGGACAATGATTGATGATATCGATTTTTCTTGGAATTTCGTTTCAGAAATGGCGGCCGCCCAGTTAACTGCATCTACAATGACAGTACCGGCGAGGAACTTCGCGTTGTTTGATGGGCTAAGACCATCGACTGTCAAGTTTGCTTCTTTTGGAACGCTTAGACCTGGGACTCTGACCCACAAGTCGTTTAAAGGTTTGGTCGTAAAAGCTGCCACTGTGGTTGCCCCTAAGGTATCTCCACTACGCTTTCTGTACCGGTCTTCTGTTTCCTCTGGGTTAAATTTTAAATTTTTTGAACTGAGATTGTTGTGGGAATGATTTTGTGTTGGAATCGTTGATGCATTAGGTTGGCTGTTATTGAGCTTTTGTTGTGATGTTCTTTGTTCACTTCTTCAGTCGAGAAAATGTTAATTCCAAAAAGGGGTTTCGTTTGAGAATCCTCATTCCTCATTAGTGGTCTCCTGGGTATTTTTTTATGATAGAATTTCTGAGCAATGCAAATATAATACCTAAAAATTCATTGTCAGATGAATTAACTTTTGAATTTATTTGGAAATGAAATGAATTCCATTTCTTTTTCAAACCAAGCGTGCCATTGGAATTGTGCAAATGGTGAAAATTCAAAGTAAGAAAACAGGAAGGAGGGCAATTTGTTCAAAGTAGTGAATTTTGTATTTTAGTGCCGATATGTTTTTCTGATTTTTTGTCTATTTACTTTTTGTTCAATAAGCTTGGTGCCCTAGGGTAGTCTATGTTTGTTTCAAATCAATTTTATCTTGTGACTTTGACATTGGAAAGGTCTATTCTGGAGAATGCCATTGTTGATGTTTTGTTGCGTAAGGTGGTCTTTTTTCCTTTATTGTTTTTCGGGATGAGGGGAAGTGGAGTACTTGGGCATTATTTTTGTGCATATTTTTAGTTTTGCTTCTTTCAATTGAAAGTTCGCTGCTCACCCTTTTATGATTGATTCCATATTCATTTGTTTGATATGCTTATATTTTTTTTATGCCTTTTGTGATGCTGCAGTATACCTCCATTAAGCCCTTGGGTGATAGAGTGTTGGTGAAGATCAAAACTATAGAGGAGAAGACAGAGAGTGGAATTTTGCTTCCCTCAACAGCTCAAACGAAGCCTCAAGGAGGTGAGGTGGTTGCTGTTGGCGAGGGGAAAACAATTGGCAAGGCCAAATTGGAACCTTTGGTGAAGGTGTTGTTTTCAAGAATTTGATAACCTTCCCAGTTGCTTTTTCTGACTGTATACTTGTTTTTGCTCACATATGCTTTGCTTCTGTAGCCTGGCACCCAGGTCATTTATTCAAAATATGCTGGGACTGAGCTGGATTTCAATGGTGAAAATCATCTTATCCTCAAAGAGGATGACATAGTTGGCATCCTTGAGACAGATGACATCAAAGACCTCAAGCCTCTGAATGACAGAGTTTTCATTAAGGTACATTATCCTTCGAAATCTTAATAGTTTCGTTCAAAGGCAGAGCTTATGTCAGATGTAAGGTCTAAGTTGGCATTAGCAAAAATCACCAGTATCCTATGAACCTTCCCTTTACACTGTCCTATCAGTCTTGTTGAGTCTCTCAGAATCATTGGGATGTCCATGGCGGCTGCTGACAGAGAGAGTAGGTTGATCATGTGTTAGTAGTGTCAGTTTTATCTCAATTGCCAACCCATATTGAGTGAAGAGTGCATGAAAAGATATAAATGTGTTGGGAATTGGAATTGCATGAAGTAATGGACAGATAACTTTTTCCGTGATTCCAGGTTGCTGAAGCTGAGGAGAAAACTGCTGGAGGTTTGCTATTGACGGAGGCAGCCAAGGAGAAACCTTCCGTTGGAACGGTAAGTACCACCTTAAACTTACAGTCTATTGGTTGGGACATAGAATATGTTAACCATATCCTCCATCTTACATGAAACAGGTGATAGCAGTTGGACCTGGTCCCTTGGATGAGGAGGGTAACAAGAAACCCCTAACTGTTTCTCCAGGAAACACAGTGCTGTACTCCAAGTATGCTGGAAATGAGTTCAAAGGCAAAGATGGTACTAACTACATTGCCCTAAGAGCTTCAGATGTAATGGCTGTGCTCTCTTAGTCTTCCATCTAGATTGGAATGTATGACTGAACCTCATGGCTGAGTTGCCCGAAGGCATAAGGATTTTGGTTGTAATTTCACTTCAGATATAATTAACTGCGGCTTTCTTGTTGCCCTAATTGCTGCACAGGTTTGTGGGATGTTTGTTTCGAAAATTATGTGGCTGTTAGAAAAAATAATTGTATCAAAGTAGTCTCTCTCCCCAGTAAAAACCAAACTATTCTATTTACGAGTTCATTATTATTTTTATTTATTTAATGTATTACTAACTAGAAGTTAACATGTGTTATTAAGAACGGTAGTGAGACATGGATAATTTTTTATATAAATTTTTTATATAATTTTTATATATTATTAAATGAGTAAATATATTTAATATTTTAAGTTTTAAATAAATAAAAAAGATTAATTATTTAAACTATAAGTAAGGTTGTACCACAACAGGTGTAGTTATGATTAATTATTTTGTTAAAGCCAACCAAATGTTAGTTAATGTGATTGATATTTTATCTGTTTGTCATATTTTTTTAAATAGTTATAATTGTTAATTATAATGTCTAGCACTATGTGGTCTAGTTGTCATAACTTACGCAGAACGTGATATGACATACAAATCTTGGATTCTACGTCCAAGCACTACTTTTTTTATCTCACACAATTCTTTTTAGTTAAAAAATATATATATATAATATTTAAAAATATTAATTTATGAATTTATTTTAATTTATTAAATAATAAATATTATTTATTTTATTGGTTGTCAATTATGTATAATAATTAAATTAAACAAAATTAAATGATTTTAATAAAATAGTGGATGTCCATATCCATGGCCATTAATAACGCATGTTATCTTATTCCCTTGTGGATAAGTCAAGCAAAATAGGTTACATGGTGTCACGAAATTTTGCGGATTTACTCTAACATGAAAGTTGAGTCAGGGGTTAAAAATATGAGATTTTAACTCGTTGAGTAGGTAGGTAAACCAAATGCACTAAACCCCCCCAAAAAAAAAAGTGGGGGTGTTGAATTTGAAATAATTTTAAAGTAAATATAGGTGGAAAAGAGAATTCTTGCAGTGTACCGTAGGTGTAATTAAGAAAATCAATATCCACCATTACGGCTCATTTCTGGATGGTTAGGGATGAACTTCATTAGGAAACCAGGCTGCAAAATTAAATTAAATAAAATTTGAAGCCAATTTTATCTTTCTACTGAGCAATAAGCTACAACAATTACTCATTTCTGTGCATAATGAGGTCTAGGTCACAGCAATTTACAAGAGAGTATAACTGATTAACTGTAAATAATATTATACACCATCCGATTCTTGCCTGTGTTTATCTCTCCCAAGTCCTAATCCTCCAAGGCCAAAATAAAAAAATAAGACCCTAAAGTTGAATCATAAATCCTTTGGCAATGGCTTTGACCGTGGGTTGGAATCAAGAACCTGATACAGTCCATGCTTTGCTAATGGCTTGATCCTCTAGGGCAATTGCATCTCCCAGCAAGTGACCACTAGAAGGGTTCTGATCATTCAAATCTCAGGTATGCACTAATTTTGACATATGCCCCAGGCAAAGTAAAAACGCTAGAAGATACATGACGGTCTAGTTCTTCAAAGTTCAAACCCTCATCGATTAAACGAGGCGGCTGAATGATCATCGTAGTGTCTCCATGCATTCCCACTGTCGGTTCCACTACAAGCTTGATTTGGAACTGGCACATTACCCAGGTTTCCATCCAAGCTCATTTGCTGAACTTCAGCAGATGACAGTATCTTAATGCTCTGAACGCAACTTACGAACTCTCTGCAAGCAGCCAGAGAACAAGGAGTTGAGAAAAAATAGAGCTAGATGGTAAAAATTATTGTCAGAGGAGGGAACATTGACTTACGCCCAAGGATCATCACCAACTAGTAGCATGTCATTTTCATGATCAACATAAACTAGTTTCCAATCAGAATTTAGTGGATCTTCAAGCTGCCCTTCAATGCCAAACATGCGTGCCAGATCATGCCTGAGTTCATCATATGCTTTGTAACGGGTCACATCAATTGATCTTCCCACAGAACCACGCTTTTGAACCTTCAGACAAACAACAACTGGCACACTTTCATTGCCAAAACAAACCAGATAAACACATAAAGCAAATTTTGAAAATGCCATTTCAAAACAAATTTTTCCAGATACCAGGATTTAAATTTCGAATACACAGGAAAAACATAAAAATGAACCAATAAGATGTAATTACTCATTTAATAACACTGTAAATGTTCCATGTAAGGGAATGTAAATTGTTCAAAATTAACACTGCTGTAGCTTCTATCATCATCCTACCCACAATATAGCTTCCAATGTGATAAATATTTTGGTTGCATTTAAGAATATATGTTAAATATCAAAAATATTTTGGTTGCATTTAAGTATGTATGTTAAATATAAAAAATATTTTGGTTGCATTTAAGAATATATGTTAAATATCAACTTTGATAACCGAAACTGATTCAGTCGCATGGTCATGCAGACAAACTAAACCAACTACAAGCTAAGGGAATGGAACTATTTCACACAGAAAGTTCAACGACAGATCTATCTTTATGAAGAAGTCACAATAACAGCTTAACAATGAGAATGAACAAGTTAAAAATATTACATCTTATACAAGTAGGGCTACATACCTTTGTGTATGTTCGCATACGTTGCGTCTGGTTGGCCCACAATCCACCATTTAAAACCCCTGCCTCGTTGATGGTAACATCATTTGAGCACCCAGTCTTGAAAGGCATGTTTGGCACTCCAAATGATTGAGAGCTTATTGCAGCAGTAGACAGCTCAGTCTCAATATCCCTTGGAGCACTACCATAATTAGAAAGCAAGTTCTGGAGATCCTTCTGAGAGTCATATCCCCTTGATAATATGGTGTCAGGTGTCAATCCATCAATATTAGCAGTGAAAGGAAGATTGTTCCTGGAGTGTGATTCAACATCACCATCCAAAAAGGTGGGGAGTGAGAAATTGTGCTGCATGGTGCCAGCATCCAGACAGTATGACGTCCCAGAAGAGGATGCTTCCAATTGATCTGTGATGGTACTTTTGAACTTTAATTGGTCTGGTCCTTTTGAGCCAGGTAACTCATGTTTAATCCGAATATCTGGCTTGCTCTGAAACTCCCGTACTGGGTTACTTGCAGGCTCAACAACTGGATCTGTTGCCAATGCCACTGGTCCTTGTTGACTTCTATTGAGGAAATTTGAGGGAGAAACCTGACAATTATTGGTCGATGGGGAGGTTGAACAGGAAGGAGGATCTCCATCTGTAAGACCAGAATGGGTTCTCATAGCTGTAGGTGTTTTGTTGTGGCTGTGGGGCTGGTTAACTGTAAGCTGAGGTTGCATCAGAGTTGATGATGGGAAGCCATTGCTACTGAGTGGTTTCTGTTGGCTCTGAGAAAGTGGTAGCTGTTGAAATTGTTGGTTCTGTTGATGGGCTTGCTGTTGCTGGAGCACCTGAGGCTGCAAAAGAGAGCCTGCTGGGGAGAGTAATTGTTGGGATTGCTGATGCTGCTGTTGTAATTTCTGTAATAGCTGCAATTGTAGCTGCTGCTCTGAGAGACATTGCTGTGATAACTGCTGAACTTGAGGTGGCTGCTGTATTCTTTGAGATTGCAATAAATGCAGTGATGAGGGCTGCAATGGTGTCTGTTGCTGGTTCCTCTGTAAGAGATTTGGTTGATTATGCTCAATTTGTTGCTGTAACGGCTGAGAGTCTTGTGGTGAAGTTGTCAACTGATGTGAAGTCTTGTTAGCAGAGAGGATAGTCTGGGTGGACTGGTTACTGCTTGTCAATAACTGTTGCTGCTGAAGCGGAGAGAAGGCAGTTTGTTGATGTGAATTCTGATTTGGGATCTGGTTAGAGGAAACCATACCATTGTTTACTTGATTTGGAAGGAACATTTGTTGTGGCAACTGCTGTTGTCTTTGTTGCTGCTGCTGTAGTTGTTGCTGTTGCTGCTGCAGATGCTGTTGTTGTGGCTGTGGCTGCTGTTGATGATGAAGAATCTGCTGCACTTGCTGTTGTGGTTGCTGCAGTGGTTTCTGCTGCAGTTGTTGTTGGGATTGCTGTTGCTGATGCTGTTGATTCATAGGTGCCTGTAGTAACTGCTGAAGCTGCTGCTGCTGCTGTTGCGGCCAAGTGATAGGTGCCTGTGGCAATTGGTTGACTTGATTTGGATTTGTTTTGTTGAACTGTAAATTTGGGGCTGACAACATGGGAGCTTGAAAATTCAATAACTTGGAAGGATCATCAGTACTTAGGTTATTGTGCAAGGCATTTGAAGAAACCATGGATGGGAAGAATCCTGATTGAGCGGTTGGGAACTGTTTATTTTGTTGCATGCTCATCCATTGCACTAAGCTCAAACCAGGGAAGATGGAACTCTGGGCATCCTTCATACCAAAGTCATCTCCAAGCCAGGGCATAGCTCTCTTAAAAGCATTCTCCATATCAGACTCATCATCTGCAGAAGCATTTGAAAAGATCAGTAACGTGATCAAGTATGGCAGAATGTGAGGCTAATGATTTTTTTTTTTTAAGTGCTAGGTGATGGTGGCAAAATAGCAGTTACTTATGCTTGGAGAAATTGGAAATTGGTTCTACCTTGCACAAGCAACATAAAAAATAGGATCCTGTTAGCAGAAAATATTTTAACTTACTTGCATTCGTTTTTTAGTATCTTGCAAAAGAAACAAGACTGGATCTGACTGTAATTATTTGATGCTTCTTCCTTATATTAAAAACCCAACAAATCTAGGCAAATAAAATCAGAAATCCTTTTTTCTTCAGTACAATGAAAATTTCTTTAGCATCCAGAAATATTGCAAGTAGAAAAAGTAAATTTCATGCACTGAAAAAACAGAAACAATGTGTATATCATAGCTCAAATGTTCTTATGCCTTGGCCACATTACGCTAAGTTGATATGAACAGTGAATGGTTTACCTGGCATCCCTGGTTGTCTTGGAAACCTGGGCCTGAAAAATGGTGGACATATGTAGAATGGAGTTACAACAGGTTCAATTTCCCAAACTGAAACTCGGCTTGGCCGCTCACCAGCTGCTGATTCATCCCATCCAACCTAATCAGTTTAAAAATGTTAGTTGGCAAAGCTAAAACCGAAAGCTCAGCAGAGAATTAAAGGGAAGGTCCAGAAATCATGGAGTAAATACATAAAATGATAACATACTAACTGCATGTGCACAGGTTTGAACAAAACCAAGCAAAATAATTTTTAAAAATAGAAGTTCCCATCATAAGATTACATAATTTATTAGTTTCCATGTAATACCTGAAGATTGCGCCATTGTGAGTTTTTCCATCGCAAAGGATCCAAGTCACTTATACCAGTAATAGTACCCATGTATCTACGGACACCTGATTCCTCAGTCTCAAACATCATTCTAAATCGCATGCCAAGTGAAACTTGGGTGTACATGGCTTTATTGTACTTTGCTAAGGGAACCACAAACTCAGAAGGGCTTGCCCTGTCAAAATCAATAAATCATTTCAGATTCTCACATCTATATGTTGGAGGGAGTAGAAGTTTTGCTAAATTAATACTAATTACATCCAAAATATGTTACAGCAATACCTTGGATTGTAAAATATGGTAAAAGGGCTGTTGTTTGCTGCCGCATGGGCTGCAGCAGCTAGGATTCCAATGTGCATGCTATCACTTGAAATGACTGATGAAGAGAGAGCTGGCTGCTGTCTATTAGAACGCCTTGTACCCAAGAGAAGCTGTGACTTCTCATCTCTACATGTACCAAATAATTACGATTAAGCAGCAATAACAGATAATAATAGCTGAAAATCTCTTTTCATCATACATTAGCCAATAAGTCAAGATCCACTTACACACAAGTCTTCCATAAATTACCAACAGTTAATTTCCAAATCCAACAGTACGAGATATATTACTAAATATAGCACCATCATTTTTCAACTGTTGGAATTGGAAATCAATGGCTGATAATTTATGCTAGACTTAAAAATGTATAAGTGGATCCAAACTCTTCCTATACATGCTTGGATGCATGTATTCAAATGTTTATCATACCTGATGAAAAGAACAGAATCTCCAGCAAAGACTCTTTTTGTGCTAACAAAGACACTCCAACCAGTGGTCAACAGGTGCCTCTTCGGTTGACCTGCAACAAAAGTATCATACAATATTTATTTATTATTCAACTTGTTTCTTATCTAGCATCTAATCTAAATATCTAATATAAAACATCCCCACAAGGCATCAACATTTATAATCAAGTGAAAAGTTCATTGGATTGTGTAAATTTACAGATAGATGAATCTATTGCATTATATATATATATATATATATGTTTTCTGACCAGAATGAAATTAATAATGAGCCTTGAATCTTAACGAATACTCCAATGGATTCACAAACTGTTATTTTATGTCCAGGTCTCTATTTAACTTCCAACATTTTTGCAGAATGATGCACAGTAGGAAATTCAAAAAACCTCCCTGCTTCCAATTCTCCCCCAGACTTCCTCCCCAACCAAAAAAAAAGGAAACAGGGAGAGAGAAACAAAAGACAAACATAGAAAATAGAAAATGATTGAATATGGTGGAATATGGCTCAAGCATGAGACCGGAATTGCTCATTTACTGTGATGCAAAGGGAAATCCCATCAAGCTATGACCAAGCTCACCAAAGTGTAAAAGGTAGAGAGGAGCATCATTTTAAGAAGCAATACCTCGATAGATATGTCTGAATGTCCATGTATTATCATGTAAATCTTTAGCTACTATCTCCTGTGCAGGTGGTTGCATTGAAAAATCCTATCAAACATCATAATGGTGAGTACAGGAAAAATAGACAAAAAGTCACATTTAGGCTGCTTAAATTTTGAAATGAATATCTAAACTCTGAGAATATTTTCTCACTAGAGGAGGAAAGATTTTCTCAGCAGCTCGACGTGGCACAGAAAATCCACCATGAGTACTTGTGTCACTAGCTGTAAGAGTCTTGCAGAAGAACTCAGCAGGTTGTCTGCTTTGCTTGAGGCCCAAATCTGACGCTAGTAATGCTTCATTGTCATACTGCAGAGAGATACTTTAAACAATTGTCCGAACATGAACAAAAGACATGTAGGAATAAAGAGAATCAAGTTCTAACATAATGCATAGATTATGTCTGAAATTGAAAATTGAATAGCTGACCTACTTTGCTAACAGGTTGAAGAGTCATCTGTGCATAGACTTCATCAGTTTCTGGATCAGCCTGATACAAAATATGCATAATCAATGAATTAGCCTCTTTGAGACCTTCTGATTATTCTTTTCTTTTTATTTCTCTTCCAGACCATTATGAAGTTATCTATAAGACTATAACCAGGGACCTGATTTTAAGATTGCAATATACTAAAATACTTGAGCATGATAGAGTAAACACATGCATCCATTTCTCTACAATATTCAGATGAATGTATGCATGCACAAATTCATAACCAATTGCTTCAGAAGAGCTCTAACAATCTCGTCCCATCATATGGAAGGGATATTGCCAATCTGGCATCGTTTATTGACATAAACGCAACAATAGTTCTAGGAGAACAAATTTGCAATTCCAACAGGAATATTTATGTAGAAGACAAGCTTAGAATGCAGAAGGCTTCCTTACATGCAATGTGACATTATGAAGCATGCAAATTAACTTGGAAGGAAGGTTGGGATAGCTTGGTATGACATCAGCCTCCTTTTGCATAGATGCTGCAACCTGAATGAAATATTGGTCAGAAACTTTCTTGAGTGATCATTTTCAGGAACAGTAGCCCCTATCTTGTGAAATGGAAGAGAAATTGACTTACTTGCTCACTGTGACCTTGGGGAAAGTAAACAACAAGACTTCCAACAGGAGGCAAAGAAACAAGAGGTCCAGCACAGGCATGCCATAACTCTGAATTAATACTCTTCTTTTCTCCTGTTCTCCAAACCAACCAAAGCATCATCACCAGGTCACAAAACAATAAAAGGAGTTCTAACTTCTAAGTATACTGATGCTTGATTTCCAGAAAATAATAAAAACAAAGCATTCAAATTCTTTGATATTAGATTTCTATGAACTCTGAATTATATAGACAACCAACTTTCTGAAACCAAACATAAGAACTATAATGATAACGCCAAATGGAAAGCAATTTTACATGATTCGTTTGTTTATTTAGCCAAAAAGATTGTTCAAAAAATCCAAACTCCTCCAGCATCAATAATTTGACCTACCTAAATAGCTAATTCTCAATAAATAGTGCACAACTGTAGTTCACTTAACATCTTTCCTTGTTGTTCCACCATTTTCCCAAAAAAAGACCCCAAAATGGTAAAAGTAAATCCAAAATAACCCGTACAAGTTAAACAAGAAACTGATCCCATGGAAAACTTAGAGAAGCCGGCAGGCAACACTTTCTTTAGGATTTCTTAATAAAGAGATGGCATTTTGTACAAAGAGGACTTCTTGATCAGACAAACAACAGAACATCTTTTGATTGCTAAAGAAAAACATATAATAACTAGTGGGATCTGAACAATACATAATAAATGAACTCAGGAAACAAATAAAAACACTAACAATTGCCAAAACTTTGATCAATATGAGACCAACATAGGAAAAGAAAGGCTTAAAATCTGGAAACAGAACCAACCCAATACTCAAAAGAGCACCATCCACTTTCTGTTAGCATTGCAGAACCCA